TACTGTTGCGTAAGTCATTAAAATCCTTGATATTTCCTACACATGTGCTAGGAACCTGATGCCACTGGAGTATTTTATTTTCTTCATAGAAAGATATAAAATATCTTTATTGGACTGCAGTACATACATCAAAGAGAGTTATACAAAATTGACAAATTTTGTGATTAGTAGTTATTTTATTATCTATCAAAATAGAATGTGCCTAAATACTTACTCAAAGACAATAACGCTGACCCAAAAGTTAACAAGTTTTTATTGATATTGAAATGGAACTGTCAAAAATGTCCAAATTACCTTTTACGGCTATTAGTTTAGGCGCTCTGGCCAGTGGCATCATTTTTTAAAGCTTATAACTCAAACAGTTTATGTTATAATATTTGTGTGAGTGAAGGGTGAGTGTAGATGACCAGGACTGTATAGCTTTTTCCCGTACTAATACCACCTGTTTCATTGGCCAGGATCATTCAAATTAATACAAACCTCCATTCTTCATATATCCAAAGATCTAGGACAGCAGGAAAAAACTATTTCCGAACCATGAAAAAGCTACGAACTTTTCTCAGGATCGAATCAGTGACCTTTTGATTACCAGGCAAGCACTATATGCATTTAGCCCTCTACCTATTTATATCAATATACATATTAAACCACTAACAGCATTGTTTTATTTAACATGGCGAATTTTTAGTTATAAAAGTTGAAAATTGTAAAGTACATAGCAAAAAAGTCAAGACAAATTACCAAATATGTTACATGGACCATTGAAATTCCATTAAACACATTCGTCAATGAACGCTACGCTTGAATAAACTCTTAATTACTCTGTGTTGAACAATTACACTTAACAACAACAACAACAATTATTGACATTAACATTGCTACAAACATGTTCTTTTATAACGACAATAAAGTGTAGCAGGAATATTCTATCTTGTGATAAATTTAATATCTATTGGGTTGTAAGGTGTGATCCAGAATTCAAATATTTAATAATATTCTGTGTAGAAGATAACAGTTTTAACCCTGTTGCGATGGTAAGAGTTTTTGCCAAATTGCTGGAAACCCAAAACGCTGTAGGAAAACAAGGTTTTGTCCCAGAAAGTTGATAACAAACTCGGTTACTGCAGCAGAGTTTAACGAACCGTGATAATTGTGTCTTCGTTGTTGTGTGTACTGTAAGCCTCCTGAATGGCTCTCCAGCCACAAAACTGTACTCGATTTTAGTTTTAGTCAATACTAAATATTAAGAAATAATAAATAATAAAACTAGAAAACCCGTGGCATATTCCTTTGGTTTTTGTACTACTGTGTTGTTTGAACAATTTTGTATTTGAAAACGTGTGTACAATCTATATATATAATACAATACGTATCTAAGGAGGCTATGGGCTCGTCTGGCAATCATGAGGTTTCTGCTTCATTCGTGAGAAAGTCTGTAGGCCTACCTTAATTGATTTTTTACTTTCTCCCCCTATACCATAGTATATGGAGAAAGTATTGTTTTCGTCAAAATTTTCGAGTTTAAGTTTTGAGTGGATATATTCGTTTTGGGTCCCCCTGGACCCAAAAAAGTGGTTTTCGAAGTGATGTCTGTGTGTGTGTGTGTGTGTGTGTGACTGTGTGTCTGTGTGTCTGTGTGTCTGGATGTGTACAGAGCTAGAGACTACACCTGTGGTCCGATTTCAATAAAACTTGGTATGTAGGTTCTAATCCATGGTATCTCCAGGCGTTTTTTTCATTTTTTTGAAATTTTGATTTGTAATGGGGATTTTCCCATAAAAACCCATAACAAGCCGGAAAAATCGGATTTTCTCAAAAATGGCCCAAACGATTTTGATACAAATTTAGTATGTTGTAGTCCTTTAAATTCTGAACAAAATGGTACAAATCCCATTTCTGTAAAAATTACGGTTCAAAAGTTATGGTAAATTATGTTATTTTCCCATAAAAATCCCATAAAATAACGAAAAATAGGATTTTAGACAAAAAAATCAGTTTTTATTTAACATAGTATGTTATGATCCTTACAATTTTGATAGTTTTTCTCATTTCTTAGAAATTTTTATTTTTAATGGGTATTTTCCCATAAAACCCCATAAAATGACGGAAAAAAAGATTTTCCCAAAAATGGCCTGAACGATTTCGATAAAGATTTAGTATGTTATAGTCCTTTATATTCTGAACAAAATGGTACAAATCCCATCTCTGTAAAAATTACGGTTCAAAAGTTATTGTAAATTATGTTATTTCCCCATAAAAACCCCATAAAATAACGGAAAATCATATTTTCCCAATATTGGCTCGAACGATTTTGATAAAAATTTAGTATGTTATAGTCCTTTAAATTCTGAAGAAAATCTTACAAATCCCATTTCCGTATATTTACTCTCACCGCTTACACATGATAAAGGTTGTTGACAAACTTATGGGAGAAAGTATGTGTCAGAATGCTGATACCGTTTATTTTAAACTGTGACCAGCTCCTTGATCAGCTATTATAAATGGTCATATCTTTATGATGAGCGATCCTTAGTCTGTTATAGACTATTAGTTCATATCACAACACTATACAATCATATTGCCTTAATATTCAGCTTAAATTACCCTTAGGTGGAGTTCCTACGCCAAAAAATTCGAATAATAATTTTTGGAAAAAATTATAACTTTTTGTGACAAAATGTCTTTAAAACATATGAATTTGAGCCTCCAAACTGTTCTACATCTTGCAATGTACTCTAAAAGAATTTACAACCAAATAAATTTGTTCTCATTGTAATCAACAAATATTTATTTTATTTTCCTGGCTATTAATCAGGACCAGGATTCCACTGAATATTAAGTGGTTAATTTTTATTTTACTACCGTAGTACCGAGACAAGTTTCTCCTCAGATGCCGCTGGTTGTACGTGGAGCTCTGGGACCATTAGTTTTGATTAAACACCTCTAGGGTGACATTGCCCGAGTTAACCCTCTAACATTTGCACTGCGGGTTGGATGAGGGGAGCATAAAATTGTGGATTGAAGATATTAATCGGCTGAAACACGTAGTTCATAAGGGAGACGACTTGAAATTAAACATCTGTTGTAACAAGGCTTCTTGAATTATACGAGACGTTGCGCTCTTAGGGAGCGATTTTATCATGCAGCCAATCTCATGTGTGGCCTGTTATTGTTGTACAGTACAACGCTTTTAAATTTCAAAACAAATATTTAGAGCAAAAGAATTTGGGTTGTATTAATAGTTTATGTACCAGTGTAGACATTTTAGCAATGGAAGTTTAGTCTTTGATCAGAGCTATAGGCTATAGGCTGATTTTATCAGAACATTGTTATATTCAAACCATTTTCAGACAATGACTTCTTTTTCTAAGATAAGTGAAAAGAAAAACTTATCCAAATCATTTCGTTAAACAGTCTCATTAGTAAACAGAAATTAATTCCCTAACACGTATATGAGGTCGAAACTTTATTTTCAGCATAGTTTTAGTTTGATTTTTCAAACCAGAGGTCTTGACCTTGAATATTAAATTAAGACAATAAATAAATGCTGATCCTACCAGAGAACCAAGGCTCTCGTTCATGTAATTGACTAACCTGTTTGATTTCCAAACTTGTATTCTTATCAAAATAAATTAATAATTTATAGTAATTAAAATAAAATTATAAGGAAAATCGATTAAATTTTTTTAACACAATACCAAAACAATTGTAAAATATTGACTCATTATTATTCTTAAATCAATCCTATATTCTAATACGAACTATGTCTGTTTGTCCGTCTGTAATATGTATCTTAAAATCCAGCGGAAGAATTTTGATTAAAAATTGGAATTAGGGAATTATGGGCGTAAAAACGTGATTGATAACACCCACTACCTCAGGAAAATTCGTATTTTACTACACAACTCAATTGAAAATTTTGGAATTTAATCATCAATTTTGAATCAGTCGAATATACCTTTCATCCTTAAGAATGCAATATCTAAAGCCTTAATATTTTTTAATGTAGGTAACGTTATGAGTTAGCTGATGTAGCTTGTATCTTTATCATCTAGGTGGATTCAGGTTTTATTTTACCATTTGGATATCATATTAAAGGTTTGTTTGATATTTGTTATTTTATTTTATCAAGTAGATTAATATGAGTTGTATGCCAAGGGACAATCAGCAAACAACAAACACTCCTTTAAATAAACCTGTTCATCCAAGAAATAATTTGAAGGATAATTTGGTCCATTTCAACCAAGAAATTGAAATTTTAAGAACTTTTAAATAAGAAACAAGATTACAACGTAAACAATTTTATTACAGAATATCAAACAAATATTTTACAAAATAGACAGGATTATGTAGGCAAGAAGCGTGATAGTCAGCAAGCATTGGTCCAAGTCCGGCGATATGTCCACTTGTAGAACTTGGCTAAATACAGATACATTTCGATACAATAGTGAAGGCAATAGTTTCAGCAGTTGGGGTCCTAAAGGCTTAGTTTGTACAAAATCGGTCTATTACTAAGTTATCCTACTTCGATAGGTAGTTGTTTTAAGTTCTAAGTATGGAAAATATGTATTCTCAGAGTAAGAAAATACTGTGTAATTAATAGTTGTAGGTTACAAAAGATTGTTTATCAGAGACTAAAAGTTAATGGCAGCTATCTTAATTTTGTTAAGTATTTCTGAGAATGAATTGTATATTAAATTAATTAATGTATTTTAACGTTTAATATTGTTTTGGAAAAGTTTTACAGGTCTTATTAATCTAAAATAATTTAACTTGCTTAATTTAAAATAGAAACAGTCTTAAAATAAAGTAGAATCCTGTGTAAACCACGAGTATTTCAATACAGAAAGTATTTCAAGTTAAAATTATCAAATTTACAATAGTGAACAGTACAATATTACTGCCAACAAAAAGAGATACACTTTTGTCAAGATTAGCAAATTTTTGTAAGAAAGCGTAATATTTAGAATTTATTAAAAAATTAAAAACTTGAAACACTCATTATGTGTGGATAATTAAAAATCACTAATAATAGAACTTTTTGAGCGAGGTCAACATGTTTTAATATTTATGCTTTTGTCCAGTCGGTAATCAGCTGATTGTTTTACAATGGTAATTTTATGAGTTTTGAGTGTTTTTGGTAAGTCGGTATTCCAAAAACTTCGTCGTAGTCTATGAATGGACGTCAAATTTCAACACTAGTTACAAGACTTGTAACTGTTATTTTTGTAGCTATTATGTAACACTATTTATCACTGTGAGGGTCTGGGTGAATATCTGGCGCAATTCGTGGGTATTCCTTCAGCCGGACCAATGTGGGAGTCCCTCTGGATCTGAAACAAAAATTACAAAACATTAATAACATATATTTTTGAAATCTTGATTTGTAATCTCATAAAAAAATATAAGCTAACATTTTTGAGGTATAGAAATAAACTAAATCGGAAGCAAACGTATGAATAATGAAAAGGCCCTTAATATAAACAACATTTTATAACTAACTATTATAGTAAAAACTTCCTGAAAAAACAAACAAATTATACGTCTAATAACACTAGTAATAATATATTTACACTTATACTGTTGAACCACAAGACGCTAAGTACATATGAAAGCTGGTTAAGTGGTAATCGATTTCGATTGGAATCTATTCGCCTATTGATTCTGATGATGATTGAAGTGTCCAATCGAAATCGATCACCACTTACCATCTTTTATATGTATTTACCGTCTTGTGATTCAACAGTATAAGTGTAAATATAATATTACTAGTGCTATTAGATGTATAATTTGTTTATTATTTTTCAGGTAATTTAATAACACGTGCGATGCTGATCAAGAAGTTATTCAGTTAAAATTTAACCATCTAATTGCTTAACCATCCTAATTGTTCAAATTGAAGTATCTAATGTGCTTGTTCGTTGCACTAACAAACACACACACATGTTATAGGTGTATGATAGGTATTTATAAATAGGTATAGGTATTTAATGAAAACGGCACACCAATGCATTTTAGTTTAGACTTGTTAGTGCGTGAATCTCAGCTACAACTACGTCTGTTCATGGAAGCAGAAATTGAAGATCAATATCAAATATCCTTTTCAACCTGACATATGCTAGCCGATGACCGTTGTGTATTCAAGTACTCAAAAAAGTTGACACCCTCTCTCGGCCTGATAGGTAATCAACATTTGAAGTATTTTAAATTTTAGCCCCACCCATAATGCAATATAAAGTTGGAGCACGTACTCACGTTCTGAGTGCCAGCGAGAGTTTGGAGTCAGCAAAGGAGTTCTTGGATCTCTGAGTCGTTGGGATTCTGACCAGCCTCGCTCCAGCCGTTCTACATCTGCCTTGCAGTACTGCATGCCTGGAAATGGTTTGGTGTTGTAGTTAAATCCCAAGTACAGTATAATAGTAGATTCAATTGTGGCCAAATACGTACAATTCATCACAATTACTTGGTGACTTAGATGAAGCTGGGGTGAAAAAAATATGCAAAAAGATCAAAATGAAAAATTAAAACATGTTATAAAAATTTACTTTTCCAAATAAAACAATTTGTAAAAAAATCGAAGCTCAATTAAAAATAAGTTGAAAAAAAGGATTTGGGATCATGAAACATGAGTGATAGTAACGGGTGACCGAACAATGACTGGTCTTTTTTTCTTTGTAAGCTGTACTAACGTGACGATGACATGAATAAAATACACATATAGTCCAGTCAATGAATGCTCAAAAGGGGGGTATAGAGGGGGGGGAAATTTTTTTTTCTGCGGGAATGTGTTCGGGGTAGTTAGAAGATAAAAATACCAAAAGTCCCACCCCTGGCCCTGCTTCTTCAGCGGGGGGAGGGGGGGGGAAAGACCCCATTTGTTTAGTTTTTTACTTCTACACTGAAAACCGTGCATCGTACGGAAAAAATGTAAATTATAAAAAAGATTATGAAATTATATTGAGATATTAAATAATTATTATTTTATAATCAACCCTTTCGCTTATTACTCAATGCAAAATTTGTATCCAATGGCATCGATTACGGATTATTGCGCCCTATGCAATCAGTTTGAAGATGTGACTTTCAGAATTTATATCACATGATAATACTTTCCATTTATAAATAATTGCTATTTTTTACATAAAATACTTAAAACACAGTCATTTTAATGTACAATTGGTACAATAGCGTACAATTGGTTTCATTACACAAAACAGCACATTCAACTTATTGATGAATTGATTAACGAATACTACACGTTAATAAAACCCCATAGATTTGGTAGAGCTTAAAATATTTTCGAGTTTAAATTATTTACGATGTTGAGAGGGAAAGTTTTCTTACCTGTGCCTCCAGGGTCGTGCACGGAGAACTGAGACTGACAACTGCCACCCCCTCCACTCAAACCTACCCCCAGGCCGCCACACTTGGAGCTTCTGAAACTAAACAAAATATAAGGAATATTTACATAATAGTGCTATGTAAATACAGTAGTAATAAACAACTAAATACAACACTACAATATTGTTAAAAAACGTGGCTTGTCATTTTAAATCCATTGTTTATTATTAAAGCTAACTAGTGTCAAAGCATCATTCACAAAAAAAAAAAAAAAAAAAAAAAAAAAAACTATTGGTAAAATGTTTAAACGATGTCGTTAGGAAAATAAACTAATAATATCCCCTTATTGCATCACCCTTTATATTTAAAATTCGAAATGTAAACAGCATATTACTGTGATATTACTATATCACGTAAAAATTATATCCGTTACAATCTTGTTACCTTCCTCGCGACTTGGCAAAATAAAAGCAGTTACCATGGTCAGCACTCCCTTGGTAGATAAAATGGAAGCAACGTTTACATCCCAGTAACAGTTATTGTTAACACTTTGGGTAAATAGCAACCTGTTCGCCAGTAATGTTATTGAGTGCTACAACAATACACGTATTGCTCCCTATGTAACTGTATTGTCCTTGTGTTTTTAGCATGTAGCTTGAGATTAGTCAGTATTTTAGTCAGTAGGTGGCTTTGCATCCAGTGCCAGAAATAAACATTTTAGTTTATTATGGTACTCTAACGGCTCACCCCTTGCTTTTCTTCAAGTTTCATGTACATACCGTATACTCATGTGGACGGGCAAAGCAAGTTTAAAAGAGACGACAATCAAGCAGAAGCACCTAAATAAAATAGAAAACTTACGTGTCTCTAGTGAGAGTCAGCAGGGTTGAGTGTAGAGGAGGAGGGACCGCTGGGTCCTCATCACTGTCCTCTTCCTTGTTCTTCGGTGTTAGGTTTTCCTTCTCCCCTTCTCCTTTGTCCTTCTCTCCCACCCCCTTTAGATTGGGGTTGGACGCTCCGTCTGGATGTCTGAGCGCCGATAGAGTCTTCCTGTGAGACAGTTAAAATTGTCGAATGTTTTGGAGTAGTATATCCACTTATTGGTACTTAGACTTATTGGTCTACTTTCTCAAAAGATCTTAATTATTTTTTTGGATTTTAGGACCTGCTGGAAACAGGCTCAGAACGACACGAAGATCTTTGGGATTAAAGGAAATGTACGAAAAAATGATTTTTCTACCCCAACACATGTGTAGGACACATTCGTTAGGAAGTAATAAATGTGATCAATCTTGATTTTAATCGTGGCAGTCCAGTAACCGATAGAAGATTATTCAGGGAATGGGAGCTTTTCTTTCTTTTCAGGTTAGGTTAGACTGTTGGTTTGGACATTTATGTTAGGTACAGTTATTTGGATTATACTTGGTACCGTACTTTGGTACTTTTCAACTGGATCCACATTTCTCATGTAAAACACCAAAAGCTTACATAAAACCACAGTTGATGACGAAATTCCACACTAAACGGTTAATTCGTCCTAAACCTAAAATTCAACATTGGGCCTCCAGGATTGAAGTATTACCCTAACAACGAGTCCAATGATGACAGAGACTTGTTAGGTAAGTAAATAATTAACGTATTGAGTAACGTTCAACACTATTCAAGCAACGACCTGAATAAGCAATCGTTTTGGAAGAATGTTAAACCTTTAAAAAAACTGCAATATAATAGATTTTTTGTTCTCGTCCTTCCCTCTTAAATTCATAGTTACGTTATGATTTGTAGATGTAAGATATATTAATTATCAAACGTTGACGAGCTCTATAATTATAGACGTCGAAGTTACTGCATAATGGAATCTAGGACCAACATATATATTATTATCATGTTAATATTGGACAGTATTGTTTTAAATTTAAAAAAAACTAGAGTAATGCAACCGCACTGTACTTGAATTCCACTCAAACCAAACTATTTCCAAGATTTTTAACTTTTAAAACTAATTAACATGCAAAACCAATAACGTCTCTTCCCCATTCCATTTGTAACGCACCGTATCAAAAATAAATCCCTAGATGGCCGTTAGGCGTAACAGTAAAAATCCAAATATACCTTTTGCATAAAATTATAAAAGAACACGGGCCGGTTCGCTCAAATGTCAGAGAGAGTATTCAAATGCTGGGCCGTTACAAACAGAATGTACAACGTCATGCAACATAAACGGTAATGGAGTAGATCCCAAGGGCACTCCGCTCTCTTCTACCACCAGGTACTCCCTCTCTCCTGCAAAACTTTCACCATTGTTCCCGGCACTTGGATAATTTCATTACTGGCCCTTGAGGAATTCGTGGATGGATATTAGGCAGAAACCCTAAAATGTTAATCACTTGTTTTTTGTTTTTTTTTTTCATGAAAAAGTAATGGTTGAAAACAATCGTGATTGTGAAATGTCTGGAAACTTTAATTTTTCGAAGCTTTTGTGGTGTACTGAAATGTTTGTTGATTGTAAATGTAATTTGTGTAAAATAACAAAATAAGTGAAATAAGGTTTAATTAGAAATTATTGGTACAGTAAGAAAATGTTATAATTTTACTAGAGAGGTTATAATAACTTAAATCTCAATTTTTTAAGTGTAATATTAATGTGCCACTTGTTTATAACTTTACGATTTTTGACCTTGGGCACAGAAACTTTGTTATGTAAAATTGATTTAGAGGGAAACAGAACATTAATGTCTATGAATTATTGCTTAAAATAAAATGTAATGTTTATGTATTGCTTAAATGAAAAGGGTATATTACAGCTATATATATATGTTTGAAGTATTGCAGAACCTTAATAACATAAAATCAATTAACATAATCCACTCTGAATTTAATTGGACTCAACATTTTTTCCGTTTTGAAATCAGTTTCTGGCTTGGAAACGATTGAAAAGTGTATAAGAATGTATATTTCTAAATCAGTTTTGGTTGCAGTGATTCGTAAATGGTACTCCTGTTAACCTTCAACCCACCAACCAGAGGTCGCATACAGCTAAATAGAGGAATTTTAAACCGGGTTTACATTGCCGATAGTGGGTGAAACCCCTAGAAATGCACGTGGGGAAAGTAGATCAGTCAGTCACGTATCTGTGGGTGAAAATCATGCAATGGTGAATGTTGCAATAGTTAATGTTTGGTATTTACCTGTATTACTAGGCTGAGCTATTATGTAAAACCCAAATCTAGCAAGGCTATAACTAGATATATGAGGTAACTTAGAGTTTATTTCCAAGGGTGTTCCTAGCTGGTGAATACTGCAACTAAGAAACTCCCAACTTTAGTTAAAAACGAGAGTAGGATTTAACAGACTATTAATGATCTGAAAAAATAGCAACTAGTATTTTTTGTACACAAGAGACTACAAATTTACAAAATACACAAAAAAATCATTCTATATAATTTTTTCGTTGTACATTGAGTTGGTGGATGAATGGTCTACCAATAATAAAGTAGCTACATGTCAAACCAAATCATACTGACTCACAGGTTGGCGTACAGCGGCGTCTCGTAGAGATCTCCACTGTTGAACCTGAGCTTGCATTTGTCACACAACTTGTCCGACATTTGGTCTCCGCCCTGAAATCAAAACATTACTTTATCTTTCACGCAAAGCTAACCTGGTGCATTTTAGAACTACTACTGTTAAAACTAATTGACAGTATGCTTTGGTTGTGGTAATAATTAATGATCAAAATTAGTTTGGCTGTGGGAACTTAAATGGTAGGTCAATAGGGTTAAAAGTCCAATTACCGTTTGTAAACAATTATAATTTAATTTTTTGGAAACAGTTTTTTTAAACCAAAAAAGGTGATCCGGTGTGGATAAATTTTTCTTCCACGATTGGTTGAAAAATAGACCCTTATAATCCGAGGTGAACACAGTCCTTTTTCATGTCTTAGATTAAATATTATTTGATGGTTGCATTGCACTACTTATGTACACTTTCAAATGTAAGCGGTCAAATTTAAAATAAAGACATCGCCAATATTAAATTAATTTTTGATTTCATGAGGCCTATCGTCAGCTATTCTGGCATTATCAGACGCAAAGGCCTCATGACATTTAAAATTCATTAAATTATTAGTGATGTTTTTATTTTGAATTAGATTCAACCCAGTATTACCAGTTCTTTTAGAAAAAGTAAGTTGTGTTTGCAAATTATTTATTTTATCGATCAAGGTTTGGGATCTTGAACAGTTTCTTCACAGTCACCAAGATTTTGAACAATATTCTGCTCATCAACAATCCATTCACCTTGCTGCTTCACAGTTGTCTACTTTTATGTAATAGGTTCAATTGTCTCGCTTCGACAACTTTTAATCTTGGAAGTTTAGGACCTTCCACCCATCGTTCTTCCGTCTGTTTTGGTTCGTACTAAGACTCCTTGTGAGATGTAGTTTTAGCCGGGAAAACTTTGCACTATTAGTCCCAATTTTACCGTATAATGATGACTTTGCTGATTCAAGTTCCTCAAATTTCATATGGGGAATACATTTTAGTCACTAAAAATCATCCTTTTTTCCAAAGGTGTCTCAAGGACGACTTACCATGATGTAGGCAGGCTCACTGACTATGCTGTTGTTATCGTAATCACTGAGTTGCTCAGTGCCAGGACAGCCGTCCAGCATGTTGGTGAGGGACAAGGACTGACATCGGGCCAAGGGACGGTTCTCCAACTCTCTACATGTTGGGTCCAGAGCACCAGACATGGACAGGCGGGAGAGCTGAGTGTAGTCGACAACCCCTGCAAAACAGGTTGTGAAACGTAAGAGCATCGAGAAGGCATCGTCACCTACATTATTGAGCTATACTTGGCAATTATGTGTGTGTTAGTTTGGAGACTGTAGTTGGAGAGTAGGGGTTTAAACTAATTAAATAACCTTTTATTTTCAAAATAAACTTATCACACACTTTTATAGAAATTTCTATATTTCGGCATTAGCCTTATATCAATGCAACAAACCACGATGTGCCACTTGCAAATTAATCATCCCATCAAAAACTTTCACAAGCAGGCAAACAAAAAGATGTTATAACATAAATAGTAACATCACCTGTGAGTCTACTAATGTAATTTACCAAATTTCATGCAAAAATTGTCCTAAAGACTACATTGGCAAAACCACCAATGCTCTAAGAGTTCGTATGAATGGCCACAGATATGATGTAAACCATCCTGATAAACAAAAACCTGTGGCTATTCATGCGAGAGAGCATTCTCAAAATTTTGAACAATGTTATTCATTAAAAGGAATAAGAAAATTGGCAAAAGACGCACCAGACTTGAAATTAAGACAGCTTGAGCAAGCTCATCAATTAATACTTAAATCTAAAACACCTTCCGGTCTAAATTTGAGATAGTATATATATACATATATATATAAATTTTTTTCTTTCTTTCTATCAAAACATTTTCTTTTTTACTTCTTCATAAATTATATGTATTTTGGATTTTTGCTAAAACCATATGATTCAGAGTGGTAAACACTTCTATTTGTTATTGTGTTTGTTCCTGAAGAAGGCTAATGCCGAAATATAGAAATTTCTATAAAAGTGTGTGATAAGTTTATTTTGAAAATGATTAAGCCGTTTGGCAATATTATAAATAACCTTTTATCAACTTCTGAGACATGTTAACTGACGTGTAATACTGCGATGTTATTACGTAGTCCATCTGTTTAAAATTTTTTAACTAAAATACGTCAAAATAGTTTAAAAAAAATAATATGACCTTTGCAAGTTATAAGTTGCTTCGTAATAAGTAAAAATAAAAATAAAACATTTAGATATTAAAGAAGAGATAATAAAAGAAAAACAAAAGAATCTTGAAATAAATTGTATAAATAAAAAAATAGAAATTAAAAAGTACAAGTCTATGCATTGACATTCAGTGTTAAAGAAATTAATGGTACTTTTAAATACATCCTTCGATTGAACTGTTTTATATTTTTTCACTTAAGAAAGAACAAGCATGACACGCGAAAATGAAATGTTTACACGAGTTTGTTGATAGTAGTTTTTCAAGTCGTTAACAGTCATATTTTACTGTGCTTAAGCTACTTTTTAATCTTCATATTGTCAATGTACAAACGAACGTTTAGCTTAATAGCTGTTAATGACTGAAAATTTAGTACAAAGAAATATTAAATGAGTCCCTGTCTCTTCTAGGAAAAACAAATAGAGTAGTAATGACAGAAGTAATGAATATATATTTTTAATCTCAATTGTTGAAAGTTTTAGCTTTGTTACCTCTATTATTTGGAAGTAGTGGAGCTCTATTTCTGTTTATGAACCTTGGAGATCCCTCAGAGAAGTTTTGCATTCGTTGGTTTACAAGTCTGTCGAAGTCGTAAGTCGTTGAATCTATAAAAATATAAAAATAATAAACGAAAATATAGTGTTAGTTAATTCGCAAATAACACAAAGATCTAGCGTACTTTAACTACTCAAAATTGCCTGTTAGATATTTTGTAAAATTTGAAAGATAAATTTCAAACCTTTAAACGTTGAAGTGGACAGCAGTATGTGAATAGGTGGCTGACACTGTGGTCTATTTGGATCTTTGCTTTGATCTACTTCAGGCAGAGGGTTTTCTAGCTGCCCCATGCACAGCGCTATGTCTTCTTCAGTGACCTGAAATATTTTATGTAGATAAACATCGTAGTCAATAATACCTTAAAACAGATTGCAGCTTGGTTTCTATTGGAAGAAAAAATCTTGAAATAGTTCACAATAAGCTTACCTGTAAGCAAGAGTCCTGCATCAGAACGGATTCCTCAGATTCTTCCACTTCCACTATCTCCACTTCAATGTCGTCATCTTCCTCTTCCTCTGCACTTTGTGTTTCTTGTATTCTTTGGACTGGAACAACTGAAACAGATTGAAATGACTATTTACCCTCTAGGAAAATAGTACATTTATCATTCAACAGGTGAATTTTGAATAGGTTTTACAATAAAATACTTAAAAGAACCGAAATTGGCAAATATTCTGTAAAATTATTTAATAATGTAGTCTTGTGGTAAGAATGGGTCCCCAATGAAGTACAACTTTACCTTGAATTAAATTTGGATAGAAATAACATAAGAAGAGAATTTGAAGTTTCACTAATTATCCATAACTATTAATCCATTTAGAACTACGTACCTCTGCTGAGATCACCGTTTTGCTGAACCACTGTAGTCTGGGTTAGTGGTGGCACGACCTTGACTTCCTCATCACCATCCTCCTGTCCGCTAGCTTGTCCTCTAGAAGCCATGAATCTCTCGTAAGCTTCGTCAGTAAGAGGTCCCCCTTTGGTCGGTCTGTAGGGCTCCTCTCTTGAACCACTTGATGAAGACTTACTCTTCCCCTCAGCCTCCGTTCTTCTTTCAGCGCCACAAGTCTTGAACCTCGTAAGATAGCTTCTGGATCCCTTCTCTTTCCCACAGGATGATTTATGTCTATGGTGCAACAAGGATTGACTCTCCAACCATTTTTTGATCATAGATTTCTTATGGTAATCCATAAACCCGTAGCCCATATCTTGATTGCTCTTCAAAGGACCATCAACCCAAGTTTCTTTCTTGGATAGTAGATGTTGTCTACTTTTATGTAATAGGTTCAATTGTCTCGCTTCGACAACTTTTGATCTTGGAATCTTAGGACCATCCACCCATCGTTCTTCCATCTGCTTTGCTTCGTGCTTAGAGTCTTTGTGAGATGTAGTTTTAGCTGGGGAAGACTTTGCACTATTAGTCCCAATTTTACCGTATAATGATGATTTTGACTTCTCTACACCTGATGAAGAATCTCCGGGTACCTTTTGAGGAGAGCAAGGAAGACTTGATGATTTGGTAGATGACTGTTTTACACTGAGAACTGATCGGTTGTCCCTTGGACTCTGGCTTGGACTTTCTCGATGTTCCATTCCACTTCCTCGCAAAGCTTTCCCCATAGCACACCGGTTGTCTCCGGATGTAAGACTAGGAAGGTAGACAGGAGGATGCTCCCCATCGGTCTCCTCGGATCTTCCAACGTATATGACTGTGTCTGCAGACTGTTCGCTGCTAGAGGGATCTACGTCACTTGAACCCGTAGTCCTTCCGATGTCCTCTCCGGCAACCTGGGTAGCTGTGGAATTCCCGAACTGAAAGAAAATGAACGGAGGATATAATAAGGTAACGTTCTTGGCCATACCTTACAAAGTGCATGCACTCAATCTACGAATAAGTGACGAATACACAACTAGCTTTTCCAAGAAAAGAGTTCCGAATATAACTCGTTTGATAACAAGCGAAATTCTAACAACACAATTAAGTGTTATAGTTTCGCCTTAAGCCGGGTTTTCCTAGACACGTAAGTGGAGCGCGGACCGCGTAACGCGGAGAATGGACTCCACTTGTCTCAAGGAGCGTTTTCACAATTAACTACGTACTCTAGTCAATTTAACCAAAGCTTCTTGGGTAGGGCTGATACAGCTGTGTATCAGCATTGTATCAGTTTCTTCTGTCTTAGTGTATTTTTACGCCAAGGGTCGTTTTATCCGAATAGTAATCACTATATTTAGACAGTGACTCACTTTGTTTACTAATTCTTTTAAAGGCTTGCATACCTGGTTGGCATACCAAGTGAGTTTAGAACGGAGTAGGATAACATGTATAACTTTATTACTGAGTAAGATTACGTACCATGTTTGATTGACATTGTTCAAAGACAGGTTCATTATTTAAACCTCAATATCTGCTATGATCTCCAGGTGTGATACTTTTGTTCCTCAGTTCCACAACTATATTGATTATTAGCTATATCAAAAGGTTTACTCTAAGCTTCATCAACGTACCTTGACTCTGCGGCGACGTATCCTATGTATCCTAGCAGCCAGCTGGACAGTTCCTAGCGTCTCTGCGTAGTTTTGAGAGGAAGGGGAGACATGTGTTAGGAGAGTCACGTGACAAGTCAGTGACGACAAACAATCCCTTAACACCTGGGTGAGCTTGTGTTCTCTAGGGACAAAACAAACTTTTGAAAACTGCGTTCAACCTTTGACTATTGATTCAACTAGACATCACCATCTTAAAGTTGTCACCTGTTTTCTATCAAAATCGTCGTAGTTGATGTGAGCCACCGACATATTGCACTGATCTAAATTACTTTTTGTGTTAAGTACAAGAACTTTTTACCAAGTCAAACTGGTGGAACGACATTTTATGAGTTATAGCTACTGTTATGGCCCATCAACTTCAGTACCTAATCAATGTTTAACTTAAGAAGTAGCTTGTAAAATAAATGTCGGGTAAACATTTACACATGATATTGAAGGACTACAGTTTAAACATTATATTTTATTGGGCTTTGCATTACTAAATATTTTCAAAATGACACAATCCACACCTGACACTGAAGTATATTCCGAAACAGGAACCATGATGAGAGAAAGTGCAGTACCTATGATTACCTCAATATCAAAATGGTACAATAATGTTCCTAGCTACGAATCTGCTTTGTATGTTCTTGATCGTATTCTAACAAAGATCGTTTGTCTTATATTTTGTGATGGGAGTTTACCTGTGTGGTGGGTGGCGATTTCCATTGAAGATGGCTAGAAGGACGTTCCCTATAGCTGATAGACTGAGACCTGAGCTAGGCTTGGAGCGATCACTTGCCCCTAGGTCCAGCAAGTGAAGTCTACTACGACCCCCAGCAACTGTGGAGAAAACTACTATGAAAGTAATACAAAATATTCATTAGCAAAATATTCATTGAGTTTTCTATAGGGAGACGACCACACAAGTAGCCTGCTCATTTGAAAAAAAAATAGACATCCCATATTTTCCTAGACTGTTAGGTCGTACCTTGTATCAAAACAAAAATATCCAGCATATTTCCCAACACTTGGTTGTTTATTTCCTACTAGCCTGTTAGGTACCTAACACAACTACCTAGCCTATTTCTCGCAGTCTTCTATGTTTAATCTCTACAAGTTTGTTTTGTATACCAACTCAAATATCCAGTATATTTCTCGCCAGCCTGTTGATACCTCTCTACCGGTTTTTTTTCATACCAACCCAAATATTCAGCCTATTTCTCACCCGCCTGTTTTGTATCCCAACCCAAATATTCAGCCTATATCTCACCCGCCTGTTTTGTATCCCAACCCAAATATTCAGCCTATTTCTCACCAGCCTGTTTTGTATCCCAACTCCAATATTCAACCTTTTTATCGCCAGCCTGTTTTGTATCCCAACCCAAATATCCAGCCTATTTTTCGCCAGCCTGTTGTTCAGTCTCTATCAGCCTGTTCTGTATTCATGGCTCGCCGGTTGGATCATTATTCTTCAACCTCATCAATCTTCGCCTCTGCAGCTTCACTCAATAAGACTTAAATAACTTATTGACACCATCCATCTTACTGTCTAGTCGATGGTATTATTTATAAAGATGTTATGGTAGATATAAACTATTAAATTAATTGTTTTATCGCAAATATTTATTCCAAATTAATGTAAAGGCTCAAATGAATATATAATTTATCACCAAATTAACTGTACAAATTTTCAAATATAAATTTGTTTTGAATATTTGACAAGGTCTCTAGTATATATTTTTGATACTTGAATAGTCTGGTCTAGTCTTTAGAAATATATCAAAATTATGAGTTGTGAAAATATATTTTACTAATCATTTGTACTCGAGAATAAAAAAATAATTCATTTAATTGTCTTGTCTTAAACAGGAATGAAACTGAAGTATTCCAAAACAACAAGTTTCTTAAATTAAACTTTGCACATATCTTAAATACTAAAATAAAAATTTGAATAAATCTTAATAAAAAAAACAAAATTAAATATGGATAATTAAGGAAATAAAACGCATGCTTGAGACTACAACGTAATATTTGTAAAGATAAATTTAAACATTAGCGAAACTAACATAGAAACAAGGCAATTCCAATCTTACCAACGCTATCAGTGCAGTTTTAAGAACTTTAAGCAAACTTATTATTTAAGAATTTGGTTTCTCCTATAATTTTCTATTAAAAACAGTTAATAGTACGTAAGTACTAAGTAAAAATTGATACCCAGTGTAACATAATTTGTACATAAATATAACGTCTTATAAATAATAACATTAAAAGTGTAAATATGTTAAGGAATGTTGCAAGACGTCTCCGTTTGTATTCACAGAATGACAACTATAAAACTATGGAGGTTCGGACGCCTTTTTCAATCTATTGGTTTGAGACTATGTGTGATTTATGGAAGGTTTGGCCTTTACCATGTACTGTTTAATATCGACAGTCAGTGTATTGAAGCAGTATACGTTGGAAGACCTTTTTTACTATCCCCCACACCACTAAAAACTGTTTCTACGTCAACAATGTGTTCCTATTTAAAACTGGTATTTATAACTATCTGAAATCACTAACTGTATAGTTACTTATACATCTACATATAACAAGTATCTACTTTTAACACAGGAAAAATAACGTTACACTTCAAATGTATTCAGTAAAAAAAAAAAAAAACTAGCTCGCTATGACTCACCTGCGCCCTTGGACGCGACGTTGTACTGGTAGATGTGCAACGTGAAGAGGAAGTGCGCATGCGCAGATCTGGCACTGAGGGCGGAGTCTAGGTAGTACGCAGCCTTGTCTGCTGAGGGGACGCGCAGCTCGCTGTAGTTCTGTACTTCCTCGCGCAAGTAAACGCCTGGTGACTGCTCACAATCTGGTAATTGGTGGAAATCAGTATCAATAGTTTATCCCTGGAAACACTATAAATCTTTGATTTAAAGTTTGGCCAGACTCAAAGAGCTGACAACAGTATCTACCCATACAATAGTCAAGATCAAGTGCAAAGACGTTAGATGAGACAAACAACACGTGAATGCCACACCTTAGTTTATGGGCTTAAATTGGGTTAAAAAGGGTCCACGCTTTAAAACAACAATGGGTTCTCCACTCAGAGAAAAGTCAGGATCACGGACGTGAGGGTAGGCACATTATAAAGAGGTTAGCAGCCCAATTATAATCCAACTAGAAACTAGACTTGAATGATACATTTGAGTTTTTGGTGACTTGTGGTATTGTATTACTGTAAAACTTTATTTGTGTAACCATGAAACCCCTTAGTATTAAATATATTCAAATTTACTAGACTCTTTGCTTCTGGTACAAATATATATGATTGAGAATATTTATTGTAAGCTGTAGGTGTATTGTAAAACCTCAAAATACAGCAGTATGATGCTGAGTTTTTCATACTAAAATATTTACTCTAAGATAATTCAGTCTATATAGTGGCGTTCCCCGCATCCGTCGTTTTAAAATTTTTGTACTAATTTTTGTACTTTTGTATTTTTTAAATATTTTTTGTATTTTTAGCGAATTTCCCATATAGGGAATAAGCTATTACCGTAGTACTCACGGTAAGACCTGGACCCGGGACCGATTTTTTTTTCGTTTTGAGGTCCCTAGAGGTCAAAAACACCATCCGTTCAAATTCATATATATATATATATATATATATATATATATATATATATATATATATATATATAGTTATGTTTATATATATATATATATGTGTCCGTTAGCGCGATAACTCGAGCAAAAATGATCCGATTTTGATGAAATTTGGTACAAACGTGTAAACCTACGTTTATTCGAACGAGTTCGCGAACCAGCATGATCGGACCATGGGAACGGGGGTTTATGGGGGCTTTTATGGGGAAAAAATGGGTTTTTCCCATTTTTGACCCAAAAAACATAAAATTTTGCAATTTCTTTTGAAACTATTTTGTAGAGCTTAAAAAAACAAATAATTTAGTATATTGAAGCGTTATAATGCGCCTAATGGTTACGGAGAAAATTCCAAAAAATTGTAAATTTAAAATTCCCATGTTATTCTTATGGAGAATAAGTAAACTGTTGTAGTTTGCTTGTTTATAAACATATTTTGCCCAAATTTGGAAAATGTTTTTATTTCTTACTAACTATTAACATTTTACATAAAAAACACTTTTACCCTCCCTGTTGCAGCAAACCTAAGTATGTTTTAAACTGATTCTATTTAAATAGGGAATAAATGTGATAATTTTAAGGAGACATTTTAGTGTAAATCCATTCAGGGAAATGGAAATTCGCTTAGTCTGCAGGTTTGCTGCGGCGGGGGTATTTTGTATTTTTTTAATGACTAATTTTTGTACGATATGGATAACCTTTGAAATAGTTCGGCGATATTTTACATCTAGTGGTTAGAGCCCGTAGCTTAGCTACTGACCTGGGGGCTAGGATTCGAACCATCCAGTACACCATTGGTGTTTGGTATGAATTTATACTGTGACACAGATGAGCGATGCAAGCCTTTAAGCTATAAGCAGGTACATCTCTCAGGGGAGAAATACTTTTTATGTTTAAACACCTTCTACTCACTGGGGATCATACATAAGTACTCAAGTAGACACTAACCGTCAGCGTGTCCTATGAGCAGGTCCTTCATGCCAGTAGACACCTCCACAGCCGACACCCTGACCGAGAACCTTGCTCCGGTCTTCAGCTTCTGCTCATTGATTCCGCGGAACAACCAGGATATGGCACAAGGGATGACTCCAAGAGCGTCTGGCGATCCTATCATCGTCTGACTTTTGCCTTAAAAAAAGTGGACAAAAAGTTATAAAGTCGCAAATTTAATAGCAAGTGACTAAAATTAAGTAAGTAAGTCAATTATAAGTCAAAGTAAGTTAATCAAAGAGGGTTTTCTTATTTTCAATACTACACACATATAGACTACTCCATATGCCATATTAAAATAATTCCAAAATATCCTTTGTCCTATAAATACACCTTTTTGTTAAATACCCTTAACATACGTCATCGTTATGTATGTTATGATACTTAACGTAAGTTTCGTTACGGTACAATTCGCAGTTATAATATGTACCTATCGGCTCAAGATGCTACCTTTAACTGAATATTTAGATAATTTGTATACATACCATGAAAAAAATACACATATTTGGTTGTTTTATCAATAAAGGTTTTTCAGGTAGGCCCGTTTAGCAGCTACAGCCTCAATTATAACTGCCCGAAAAAAGGTTATAGTGAAATGCATTAAGACGATCCAAACACAATTTCTGCTTGTTTATTGAATAAAAGGCATACATTTGGTCTTCATTGACCTTTTTAACAAGACTTGTTAGTATTTCCTAACTATTTGTTTGGAAACTTGACTTCCTCCCAGTCCACATTAGTTAAGAGTGCTGATTTAACAAGTTGGAGATTCCAGAAGATTCCCGAAAGGTGTTCCTTACAGGGAATCATAAATTGATCCTTTCAACAGACTTTTAGACCTACCTAGCTTAGAGTGTCCAAAGCAGAGGAGACAACCGTCACTTCCATTGATGACGGCGTGCAAAATGTCAACAAGCGCTGTGGAGGTGACGTCCATCTTTGAAGCAAATGAAACAAATGATACTTAACTCAATAACCATTACATGGGTATAGACACGATTTTGTAAGCATCTTAATAAAAAAAAATCTATTATTACAGTTTATTCTGTAGTAAGAAAAGGAAGAACAAATATGAGATATCAAAAGCCTTTTTGGCAGGTCGGGAACATGGGATGAGACTTATTGACATGGGACGTTTTGGGTGGCTAGATCAATATGGCTACAACAGATTGCAAGAAGGTCCAATTTCACATCACACCTGATTGTCATCTTCGGTGAAGATAGCGTCGAATGCGAACATCTTGGGGGCGGCGACTGCCACCCTCCGGTCCTGAGCCTCGGGGGTGTGGCTGGCAGCGGGGGCGGGGTCTGTCAAGGTCACCTGCTTGTGGCGGCGATCTACCTTGAAACTTGCCGTGTCTTCTGAACTGCCAGCCACCTTCAGCATCACCTTCACCTGGAATAGGAGTTGTAATGTCGATCACCATACTTGATTGCGACTCTGATTTTTTACGGCTTGACCTTAGTGAAGAAATCCTCTTTTTATTTGTGAACTAATGGTATTACAAAACAACCAAGTAACCGGTGAATCTCTTATAGTGTCAAGAGCTAGCTTCTTTGAAGAATGTATATTGAATTAGTTTTTTTATTGTTTCTCCGCTTTGTGTAAATAAATGCCTGCATGGGCATAACTTTTCTTAGTGAGAGGTTATGTCTCAATTCATCAAACGTTCAGGAAATAAACGACAAACGAATATACTTTTTTTCTCCAGTTAGACACTGCCTCTTCAATATTTAGAAACCCCTGGTCTATGAGCCAGGAGAACAAAGACTTCGGAATGAAGCATTGATTATAAATCAGCAATTTTTCAAGCCATATTTAGAATTTTACATTTCTGCTGCCATTATTATGTATAACTTAGATAGGTGCCTGCCACAAACCGCCATGGAATTAGTAGCGCTAGAAATATTTACATTTGTTAAAAAGAAAAAATTAAAAAAATGAAAATTTTGTTTGTTAAATTTTTGTGAATCAATTGGACCTCGCCGACAAGTTTTGCAAACTTGGCGAGGCCAAGATTTTGCACTATCACAAATAAATATATTTGAATTTTGAATTTTGAATTTGAATATCCCTCATTGTACGAGGATATTTGTTACCTGTCTTTTTTCTAGGTATAGGGAAACTTTATATGCGTTAATCATTTAGTAAAAAGGTTTAGGAAACAAAGAAGAAGATTTGTTTGAAGTTCATTGTTGGTGATTATACGAGTAAATTGATGTGGTTTAAAGGTTGGACATTATCTAGCACAGTGGTAAATTAAAATATACAACTTTTCGTGATCTGAAATCGAACCCCGTCCTACGGTGAACAAAATTAACTGATACATCACTACTAACATTTACACAAACCCCAAATTAAAATGGAATAGCTACAAGAAGAGCTAATAGAAAATTTTAGTCTCATTGGCAGCACTATTGCAAGCTGTGCGATTAGTTTTCCATTGTTGTGAGCTGTTTCCCTTACTTTTCTTTTCCTACGTATGGATTTTTTGTGTTTTGTGATTGGTTATATTTTGCATTTTGTATCAATACTTGACTAACATAAAGTGCATATACTTGATTGCTAATTTTTGTAGCTATTCCAACTGAGGTTGGGTTTTGTGTATTAGTTGCGACGTGTCAGTTTTTTTTCACCTGAAGACGGCATCAGAATTCAAATCCCGAAACGTTGAATATTGCATTTTACCACTGTGATTGAAAAAGTCCGTTATAAACTTTCAAACAACAAAATGGAAACGCAATAAATACGGTATTACTTTATTGTAAAATATTTAGGAAATAGTAGGTAATTCCATAACGAATACATAAAGAGTCGGTTGTAATAAAAATTTTAATAACCTTGTTGTAAATTAAATTTAAATAACAGTTTAAATAAAACTCATCTACATGAAATTTCACAAAATTACCACCCCAAACTCCTATAACCCCTCGCTCTAATTACTATTTAATATTTTATCTTTCATCCTAGCTCTAGCTAAGCTGTCATTACAGCCGGCAGCCAAACACGACGTAAATCCTTGATTTGCCTCATGGATGGATCGTCAGCCCGTCACAAAGGGAAGTTTAATGTTTCCCCCCTTATCCCCTGAATTGTTACGCAGTTTATCGGCACAGTAAACCCCCTCCCCCTCCACATCCCCCCCGGCTATCAGACGTTAATTGGCACAGTAATCCTTGTAAGTGATAGCCCGTCTGTGACTCGCCCCAGGCCTAGTGTACATCGTCCAATCAGAAGCCAGGACTTTGTCGCTTTCTTGGAACGACGCTGTTATCTGCTTAATTGCCCTAAGTTGATGGATAAAACTTGGAGATTGTTTATGGCTGAAAGTTGGAGGTGATTGAATGAGTTCCATTTGTATGATTTTTTACTTTATGGAAATGGAAAATTTGTTGTTGGATTGTAAGTATACAAAATAATACTTTTTTGTATTATCCTTATTTTATTTAAGTTACGGTTACTTCTTAATTTACAAACTTATACCCTTACTATACATAGACAAAGCCTATTGTAAAAAATGGCCGAAATAAATCTTGAATCTTGAATCTTGAGTCTAGAATCTTGAATCATATAACTTTGTTTATCTATTGACAACTACACCTAAAACATTAAAAAAAATGCATAAAGAATACTATATTACCGTATTTAACACTTTAGTTAATTAAGGGGTAAACAAGTTTTGCAACTAAATCATTTAAGTTTTTAGATGAGTAATTAAGAGACATTGGAGTTAAAAAAGGAAAATTTACTTTGTAATTTCATAAATTATTGATTACACCAATATAAACTATGGTTGAAACATGCAAAAATTAAAATAGAGTATTACAAGATTCACTAAATCCTGGAACTAACTGGCTTGAAAAGAGATAAAAAAACAGTTCACAAGGCTTGAAGTTGAAGTATGTGGCTTCTTCAAGTTTAAAAGAAGTGGGACAGAGTGATTCGAACTAGTTTGATTAGCTAGGTGCCTTGGCATCGCCTGTACAGCATTTGAAACAAACAATTCAACTTGATATTGTAACCACGATACCCATTAAAGAGAAAACTAGCAAGCTTATATGGACAAATATTTACGATACGTAAATATTAACTGATACGTGGTATGATTAAAATGGAAAAGAACAAAATCTGAATGTACTAAAGAACCTATCTTTCTAGCTGCAATCCTTTGTACATTTGAGCATCTCTGTGACAAACTTTGAAAGAAAATCACACAAACACTCTCAACAGAAACGGCATGAAACGACAAGAAAGGAATACACAAAAGAGAGGAATAAAAAAACATAGTAAATTAATTATAGGTCCTTATTAAATACTGGACGAGAGAGCATGATACTTTACTGTTTTGCAGCTATCTCCAAAAGTGGAATAAAAATACACAAAAAACAACAAACCTAGCATTCAAATATACTTTGAAGATTAGAATATAATAATAGATACTTACAATTGTATTTCAGTCAAATGTAAGAGAAAACACCCTAGATCAAAATATCCAATAAAATAATATTTTTAAATTGTCCCTACTTATCAATAAGTTCCCAGTTTGTAATAATATTTTATACCATTGTTCTGCATTGTAAAATATAAAATCGATATTCGTGTTTTTCTTTCTTCCCTTTTCTTGCGTTGTTTATTAACTTTAGACAAAAATAACAAGACAATCACAAAATACAAGAAAGATATTGCTGAAGATGATAACATGTTTCTGTTGTTCATAACAAATTTTCATAAGGATTTTTTGACAGAAATATACGTAAATTTCACATACAAAAGTGTAATGATTAATGAATAACAAAAACACTATTAGAGCAATTATGTAAAATACTTTTGAATAATAATGTAGCAACTACAAAAAAAACTGTTCACGTTACAGCCATTAAATATAGGCACATGGTTTAATACAGTTGTAGACTGAAATTATTAGTCCGTATAAGATAATAAACGTAATTCAAGGGGTCTGAAAAAAGGGAAAATTAGAGGGCATTTTATAAACAAGCCCCAAACAACATGCACTTCATCATAGGACACTTGGGGGTCGTTTGGATTGTGGGAGGCGGGGGCTAACAAACTCAAATTCCACTCTTGAATGAGACTCAGTGTGAATGTTAATGTACAATATGAACTGTAAGCGTGTTTTTCTGATTTAAATCCAATTTATTTTACCATACAAATTTACAGTGGATTTTTACCTTGTGCGTGCACATGATTATTTATAAACAATAGAAACAAATAGGAAAACTTCATATTTATGATTAAATTTTAAGAATATTGTTTTGTCCTCAAGTTTTCTTTTTACAATGAATATTTAACTTTTAGGTTAAAAACTAGATTCAAACAATCAACATGGACATTTTGTTAAGACTACTGTAAAGTTCTATGTAAGGTGTTTAAGTAATTTCTAGGTTATAGCGGTGTGTCTGTAATTATTCTGTATTAATGGCAGTTTCTCGCCTAAAGACGGGGTCAGACTCTATATCTCAAATCATCATGAAACTTATTTGATTGTTAATTTAAAAATTGTTATTCGTATAAAAGTACTAACACGTATGCCGCTAATCGAAAGTGTATTAGGCTACAACCTAATGTAATAGATTAAAGAAGTAAATAACAATAATAAGTTAGAATGATTCTTACTCACCCCAAAATAAAAAAACTTAGATTAAAAAAGGAAATTGCCATAATTTAAAACCTCATTTACAAAAAAAGAAAAATGATGTACTCATAAACAATAACTCGTCTCCTAGTTAATAACCAAACAGTAAAGAGCAAATAATGAAATTAACCCTAAATAATATGAACTAAATTTCGTCGACACTAGCGCCAAGTGTCACTAACTAAACACGTAAAACGAGCTTCAAATGTTACAAAGGGATGATAAGTCTACTTGCGTGGGTGGGTCTTTTATAATGTAACTCACTCAGTGATTTAAGCAGACTCTTTGGTTCAGAAGATCACTTAGATTAAGCTACCGTGGTTAGTGAAACTCATAAATTTAGCCTAAAGTCTTTAATTACGTCAGAGACGCTTAGAGCCTCCCCTAAGTGATCTTTGGATGACCTTTCTCCCCCAAGTGAAGAAGGGTCCTGAGACAGTGGAGACCTTCTTGAAGCACTTGGCATTTAATTAACACCTAGTCACGTGGTTTGGGCAAATTTACCTTTAAAAGGTCAAGCTCTTCCCCCTTGTGTATGATTAATTAACACTATCATACCAAAGAGTCTTGAAGATCTCAGCTTTCTTGGCATATCTCCATTAGCTCAGAGACAATACTCAAAATAACATAGCCAGAAAGTTGTCTCAGTAAACCGAAGTTATAACAAATAAATAGTTTTGCTTGATTTCAGTTCAGGTGTCAAAATATAACCCTAAAATATTCAAACAACAATTAACTGTATTTTAACCAAGTTTTGTCACAATCGCAGCCCGTTGAGGGTTTTAGGGGATTTCGTGTAAGGTGCAAGTCAACTAACAAATAGCGTAAGTATCAGTTTAGAATATGGATACACTGTTAATTTATAGATATTAGGTATTCACATGTTGTATTTTTGTAAGCAGTTTTATACAAAAGTGACATAGCTAAATCAAAACATCGACAGTGAGTGGCTTAATATGCCGGCTTCTTCCAGATCATGTTAAACTGAGCGAACAAGCCAATGAGATTGTAAAGTATATGATATTATATTTTCCCCATCCGTCAAAAAGTATATAGAAATAAAAGAAAATGTAAAGGGTGACACGAAGAGGCTGTTATTTTACAATTAAAATACCAGACACATTGAAAAATCCACAAGCTCTGTTAGCTCTGAAAAAAGCACATGTAAAAAACGCCCTCGATCAATCAGAATTGCTTGATTTTGAGCAATCAGAATGAAATGGAACATCAACATAATCAACATTTTTCATTCAAGTATTTTCATTCGCAAAACCACTACAAATAAATTATGGATTTTTTACAACTTTACTTAAGTAAACCAAGAATTCTAGTATACAATATATATATATATATATATATTTATTTATTAAGAGCTCCTGATACGTATTTAAGTATAGATGTACACATTATTTATAAACAGTGTGCCAATAAACAATTCTTATTGACCAATGGACAATAACCAAAACATATTTCCTGCTGGTAAGAGCTCTTCCCTCGAGCACGGACTTGCAGTCCATTCGGGGAATACTATTCTTACCCTAATAATGTATTCCTGTATTTATAAACCTGAATAAAGTGATTTTTGATTTGATTTGATTTGATTTGAAACAAAATAAAGTAATACAGAGATAGAGTAGTGGTAAGTCATAAATCAAGTTCGTTTTATTCATTACCATCTTTTTCAAACTGGTGTCCTTCAAATGAGACTTTGGAGTATTATTTGTACATAATTATGTTGTTAATACATCCGTAGACTTTGAGGTATGGGCCTTGTCTGATACGTCTGGTGTATAAATTAAAAAGTATCAATCCCTTTGAGGACACCCTGTATATCTTCAAATCTTCAATTCAGAATGTTATTGGTATGATTGGATGTTTAGGTTTGGACTTAATTCCATTGTACTATTGTACACCTTGCTAGGTTTCCTACGTATTAAACTTACTGACTATCCAAATCTACCTTGCCAACTCCAGTGATATCCTTGCCCCCTATTCTCCTGAGCAGTGCTGGAGGTATGGGGGGTGGCGCCCTCACCAGCGCCCCACAGAAGCCACCGGGCGCCCCTGGTGGCTCCTCCTCCAGCCTGCGTCGTCGGTGACCGTGTGAGTGGCATTGGCTCATCGTCTGCTCAAATCCTCTAGAAAAAAGGAAAAACACATAAAATAACTAAAGTAGGCTAATTTACAAATTTTACTTACAATACAACTTGGGTTATACAAAGTCACAAAAATGATTTGCTGGATGAAAATGTATTTTCCCAATTCCACAACGAATGCCCAGGTCTTATAAACTTATAGGAGGTATGTGTTTTATCAGTTTTATGTGTTCGTTTGCGTGATACCATCAGTAATAAAGGCTAAAGGTGGGACCTTCATTCAATTCCAATAATGATCCTATGCTTTCGAAATTATCAATTGCTCTCAATGCAACACATATTACAACGACCAAAGTCAGTGACGAAAATGGTCGTTAAATGAATTACATGACAGCTTTGTTGATGAATGAAACATGCAAATTTTATTAAGCTGAAATACATATTACAACCACAATATTCGAGGACCTCTGGGTACAGTCTCAAATGATAAACAAGTTGATTTGTCTAAACTAATCCTCCCCTTCGTATACAAAGTGAACGTGGTAACTGGTTGGCTACCCAACTACGGCTTTAGTTTCGTCCTTGGTCAAAACTAAGATTCGTTCAAATTTTATATCGTTATGTGCAATGCCATTGCGTACGTATTTATAGAAGCATATTGCACAGTACGCAAACGATGGCACGTATCGGAGAAACGTATGTAGTGTTTATAAATTAATTGCTTTATTTATTAAAAGCTTATCAATGAAAAAGTGTCACACTGTGATAAACTAATGGTGGACGTACAAATTGTTTAGTGAATCTTGATCACTTTGATGCATTTGATGTTCCATACAAAACCCTTAACCATAAAAGGTCAATTTACAAAAAAAGGGCCTTGGAATAAGAAAAATCCAAGTTTCAACAATAAAAGTCTCCTAAAGACTAAGGGTCAAATATTTCATACACTCTTCAAGAAATTATGATGTAGAAACGTTGGGCTATTTATGTTTCAAGGATTCGATAATATATATTTTTAAATAATAAAAACTTTGTTTGGTAGAAAATAAAACAGTAAATAAGGGTTTCAATTAGGGTAAAAACACCGTGTTCATCCGTATTTACTTATTTTGTTTTCAAACTTGGTTTCGTTTTGAATATCTTAAAATATGAAATCGCGAAGTTATCAGAATTATATGAAGCTACAAGATTCAAAGCTAAATTGAGTACGTGTAGATTGTCTGGGCTGATAGAGTTTACCGATGTAAATAAGGTCTACATTTCGTTTCGGAAGAAAGGTTTACTGCCAGTGATAAGCATCGAGCTTACCGTTGTCAGGGCAACAACTCGCTTTCAGATACTTCTTATCATTTACCTTTTACTTTCTTAACAGAATTGTACTTTTTCCTCAATCTCAACCCTTGAACCCCTAGAATACTTTAGTATTTGTAAGCTCATGCAAGTTTAGGCAAAAAGAAAAAAATAATAATCAGAATACTGATATCACCTTACATGTTCAACGAAAAAAGTACATTTTAAGGTATTTGCTACTAAAACTTAGCTCAGAAAAAATATTACTTGTTTAAAACTATTTTAGTTGTAAAATTACGATCACTTTTCTGCATAAAATACATATAGTTTACAATTTGTGGTTTTCCAAGTAATCAGTATAAGTCTTGTAGTAAATGTGAACCCGTTTTGAAAGTTTTTGGATACAATTTCAATACACCTTAAAGGGAAATGTTTGCTGTAACCGTGGAATTATAAAATTAAGATACATTATACAATTTATTACACTGAAATTCCAGGAGTAATATAATGTAATTATAAAATTAAGATACGTTATACAATTTATTACACTGAAATTCCAGGAGTAATATAAGGAGATTGAGAAAAATACATGATACTGTAGTGATGCCTGCTTATGCGGTTGGATCCCACATAAACGGGGTTTATGAGGGGTTTTATGTGGTTGGCTTTCATTATGAGAAGCTGTGTTCAAATCCCACCAATGATTTTATTCCTAGTTATTTATTGTGACCTACTGACCCTAAGAATGCAATGGAAACAAAAAGGGTGAGGTGGTCTTGTCTATCTGGGGAGGAAGCCATTCTCTATATTGGACTTTGCATTGCATTTTTATATTAACATTTAAATTAATTAACTGGCTAGGTGATATAGTCCAGTAAATATTTCAGAAAATACGGGGTTGCTGATCAAAAGGTCGGGAACTTTAGATTTTTGGATATGCATATTGTAATTTTAATTACTATGGAATTGTAGAGATAAACTATGAAAATACGAAAAGGTTTGTCATTGACACAAATACACTAATAAAAATTGTGGAATGTAAGCTAGGAAATGATTCGCCAAATGTTATTTATTTATATTTCTTTGCACCCTTATAAACGTAGTTTCTATTTAAAATATAGTACAATTTACCATATTTATGTGTGTTGGATATTACGACTTTTCAACAAATAAATAGCTGTTCACGTCTTGGAACAACATTATTTAACTATCATTTACTACAAAAACGCAACCTCTTTAGTGGTCTACATAAATTCGGGCGACTTAAGGAGGAAGGGTGAAAGGGTTCTGGCGACTTATGGCGGAGGAATATGGAGGTATAAAGCCATATGGACGGAGCAGTAAAGTTGATATACACAACGCACGTGGTACACCGTCTCTACCAGATATATTTTATTATCATTCCCCGTACCGATCAAGTATTACGTGTAGCTCAAGTAAATGCGAAATTGTGCTTTATATTTTTCGTATGGTTTTGATAAAGCGGTACTTCAGTATTAAACGGAGGCCACATTTTGTCAGCGCGCTGCGGCGGTTATGTTAGGTTGGGTTATCGTAAATATTATGTGTGTAGGACTTTCCTCGCTTCGTTATGAATCGAACGATACTTTCTATTATGATAACCCAACCTAACATAACCGCCGCAGCGCGCTGACAAAATGTGGCCTCCGTTTAATACTGAAGTACCGATAAAGCTTCACAACAGTAAATAAACATAACGTAATCATAAAACTGAGGCATAGATAAAACATAGTCCCTTATATCTATGTTTTATCTATGACTGAGGTTAAGTTGCTGAAATACCTTTCTTAACGTTATACTTATGTTTTCTAAACCAATTTGCTATGATAAATGATCTTGTTTGGAAACTGCCGAAAAGGAACTGACTTAAGAGTTAGTTTACATTTGTCAGCAGGCAGTTTCAAACAAGAAATTAATCATTTTATGTTAATTATACTTTTTTTTTTGTCAACGCAGAATTTTTTATATCCAGGATTTAAACGCACGTCTACTTTTTTTAAGTACTTATAGTTATTTAAATAATTACTTTAATCTGTTGCCACCAAATATAATTTACAAGGCAATTATGGGTTTGAAATGTATAAATGATAGTGATCTGGGCTAGTAGTTTATCAACTTCGCGTTTTTTTTAATTAATTTTTATAAAAAAACTTATCTTTATTAGGTTTCAACTCTTATTTTAATTAGGTGTAAATGTAAGAATGTCGTCCAGGTGGGAACTTGTAAGTTCATTTAAAAAAGTAAAATACAACATCGCAACAACAAAACATATTCTTTTAAAAGTTAATGAAGCTACAAACAAAAGTTAAAAAGTAATAATTGGCAATTACAATCAAATCTATTCAGTTAGATTAATTCACTTTACTAAACTATATCTATGTAAAAAGACCTATTAAAATTAAAATTATATTGAAAAATATATATTATTAAAAATTAATGTTTTGGTTATTGTTACTGTAGGGATAAAGCCTTGTAAATAAATTAATACCGTTTTAACTAATGAAGCTGGAAACCTGATATTTCACTAGCAATTAAGCAAGAGTGATAATAATGAACAATTAAGATAATTACTCAATTACAATATAACGTTAATTGTCACAGCTGGAATGCTAATGAAATAACTAGTTGTAACAAAAAATATGATTATTTAGTTTTAATTTCTTACAAAGTAAGAAAAAATTTATTATACAATTAGACTAAACTAAAACATACCTCGTCCTGCAGTTGAAATAGTGTGTTTTAATCCACTACATTTTTATGTTTCGCCATATGTTTTTTTAGTTTTCCTGCCAGTTCTGTCTCTGACAGTGCCATGATCGGGTTACAGTAAGTGTTGTAGGCCTACATGTAAATGTTTTTGTTTGTGCGTGTCAAAATGTGTACATTTTTATGTTTTATTGTAAAATTAGACGACTTTACGAGTCCAATTCAGATATTACAATGTCCTAAAATATCCTAACGTTTCTGTATACCACTCTAAAATGCCAAATATGGTAAAACACATTTATTTTATACTACTTGAACTACAAGACGAGGTATCTTTTAGTTTAGTATATACTAAGCAGTTCAGGGGCTACAAAATGGAATTTAATTGTACAATTAATAACACCATACGATTCCAACATTTTTCTTTACTAGGGCAGTCATAACATTGTCAAAGATTGTGATTTATAGCTGCTGACAAAGAAATTAAAATTATATGATTATCTGGTTATTGCTTCAACCACTAAAATACTAAACAAAGTTGTCTTAGAGTTTGTAAATTTAAAATTATTTGAATTGTTAATGTTGACCTGTGACCATTATCGACCAAACCTATAACACCGTATGGAAATATATAACAAAACTTCTATGTGTAATTTTAACTAAACCTAAAATGTTCATAAAAACCTCTCAAATAAATTTCCATCGTAAAATTTTAGTTCATGTTTGAGTGTTTAGTTTAAAACAAATGAAGCCTATAAAATTATTGCCTAAATTGGAAATAAATGTTAACATCCAACGTTTCATCCAAATATTACCTAAAGTATAAGTACCAATATTATTATTAAATAAAAAATAAAACTCTCCAAAAAACTTCACCTAATCTAAAGAATTGCTTCGATTAAATTAAAGTTGCTATTCAGCATTTATAAACTAATTACCGACACTAAGTTCACCTAAGCTAGAAGCTGGTACACCAGTTTTCAACCAATGAGCGCAGAGAACACACAAAATAAACACCAATAACGGGGCGAAGTTGGCTCATATTACCCAGAACACAATATTGGTGAGGTACGAGGCTGCAACGTCAGATGGTTATTGTATCTCAGCCAGTTATTGTGTAATATTGTGTTGCGATTTAAGTGTATTAAATGTTACGCGTTCCTCCGAAAGCGCACATGACCTTTGAACGAAAACGGGATACAATAAGTATATGAACAATAATGAATGTTTATTTTTAAATATTATTATTATTTTGTTGTGTAATCTATCTTCAGGTTGTCTTGCAACCTTATGAACAAACTTGGTCACGTTATTCAGCATGTCAAAAGAATCGAAAAATGTACTATAACATGCGTCCTATCTCATGTGATTTTTACAAACACATTCATAAATCCCTAACTGATTGAGCTACAGCGTAGACATTCTGTAAAAATATTTATCTCATTGACCGCTTTTTTGTGCAAAATATGAATATCAACTCTTAAACCATTTAAAAATGGGGCCTTTCAAAAATATTTCATTCCAAATTCCACGAAAACCATTAGTTTTGCAAAAGATTTGTGAGCTATGTAAAATTAAGTAAATTTTATACAGATTACAACGATGTCTTATAAGTATAGTTTGGACAAAGAATAAATGAGAATTTATTTTTTTCTTGCCATACCTACAGTTTTCTCTATTTAAACAATTATACATTTATGTAACTACTTTTTAACATTGTTTAATGGAGAAAACTGAAGGTATGGCAAGAAAGAAAATAATTCCTTAGTTATTCGTTGTCCAAACTATCTTATAAGATATCATTGTAATCTGCATAAAATTTACTAGACTTTACATGACTTGCAAATAGTTTGTAAAGTTAATGGTTTTCGTGGAATTCGGTATTTTTAAAAGGCGCCATTTTTAAATGGTTAAAGAGTTGTTATTCTATTTTGCACATAAATAGTGGTCAATAAGATTAAAATTTTTACAGAAGTTCTATGCTGTAGCTCAAGCAGTTAGGTATTTATGAATGTTTATGTAAAAATCACATGCAGACAGTAGACCGAAAACAGAATGAGATAGGACACAATAATGTTAAATTGCATCTGTTGGTATCTTTTGGTACGTTGAATGACATGACAAAGTTTGTTCATAGGGTTGCAAGACAACCTGTATATAAATAACTTCTTGATCAGCGTCGTACGTGTTATTAAATTGCCTGAAAGTACAAAAGTACGTCAACTAACACTTGTACACCATACATAAATAAACTAACAAATCAGCTAAATAGCTGTGGTAGTTTGGTGTGTAATAATATATTTACGCTTAAACTGTTGACTCGCGAGTATAGGGACCCCATTCCGATTCTTGTAATTATTCGTCTATTGGGTCTTGTAGTGTCCAATCGAAATCGATCAACACTCCATCTACCATCTTTTATATGTATTTACCGTAATACATGTGAAATAATACCCTGTATGAAAAATATATACCCTATTCGTACAACAGGACAAGTTTAGAATACAATGGATATTTAACACGGAAAAATGAATATGAAATCCTCTTAGTTTTTGGAATTCAGCTAGAAATCAAAATATCTTCGTAATGTTTTGGCGTATGATGCGGCTTAGGGAAGGCAAATCCCGATACACCCTCAGGATGGGAAAGAACAAAGGCTGTAAGTGATATAGAAAAAGGGAGAGTATTGAAAGGACGCATTGTCATCACAATGAAGACTACATCGGATATTGTTTTGTTCGGATGGCTACATTGCATGTAAACATACCAGTAATACATTTTGTTTGGCTTGGGGCTTGTTTGAATTCACAAATATCAGCTTGTGAGTTCGATTTCTTTTGTCTTATCACATTAAATGTATAATTTGATTTTGATTTAACAACTCTGGGTTCTAATCGTGCCAATCAACAATGTTTTTATCTTTGTGTATGATATCATTCGATGGTCCGTAGTTTCACCGCAGCCTTTTGTATAACCATAAAATGAAAACATATAAATAATACATCTCTCAGCTAAGAAGCACTTCTCCTTATTACAGAATCCTGGCAAAAAGCAATTAAATATTCAAGTAGCGCCAAAAATCAAATTATGAGAGAGTTTGAATGTATGAACATAGTGGTTTATGTTTAACTGTGACAAATTTTGTAATGTAATAAGGATCTAAAAACCAACAAAATATTCTAAGAACGAAAAGAATGTTAAACTTTATAATTAGACTGAACGTTAGTAACTTCAAGGCAACGTCGTGTTTAGTTAAGAATTACATTCAAGAATAAACCAGTAACACAATGTTGTTGAACTACGGCTGCTGAACACACGGAGTTGAGGTTCAACAAGAACTCAGCGAGCTCTGGTTTGTGTATTTCTGCAAGGTAACTTTGGTCATTTTCCTTGTTAGATATTTAACAGCTGTTGTTTCAGCACGATTTATTTTATGGAAATGTATAAAAAGGCAATGCATAGATAAAAGTAAATCTTAATCCTTTATTCATACCATAAAAAAATACTGTAAAATGTAAAATGTCTGCTATCGGACAATTATTGTATAGTATCAAGTTGTTGAAGATTTTCTTATAAAGCTTCCAACTAACATGATTTTGTATGAAAAAAAAAATTAATAGATAAAATGTGTTAAAAGTAAGATAAGGTGGTGCGTAGTTTTCGTAAATTGAAATGACATTTATTGTTGCTTTAATTGCAGCTATGCATTACTTTTTCGTAAAGTTTTAAAAAAATATTTCGAATAATAAAAATTAATATTATTACAACTATTAATTGAGACGAGGACGCCCCCAGATGGGCAATTAAACACAAATATGATTGAGATGAGATTTGTATCTTTGTTACGTGTGAAGATCAGATGTTTCATTAGCCAGGATCATTTTTATGATCAATGACAGTTGGGTCTAGTCACAGAAAACATATTACTATAACCCAGAATGCCAACCGCGTGGTAAAAAGCATTAAGTGTTTTGAGAGAGCTTTGCCTGTCAATCGTAGGCAGCGCAACCAGCGTTGCCATGCACTCAGCATAGCAACGCTGGTGGCGCTGCCTACGATTGACAGGCAAAGCTCTCTCAAAACACTTAACGCTTTTTACCATGCGGTTGGCATTCTGGGTTATAGTAGTATGTTTTCTGTGGTCTAGTTTCGTACCAAAAGCTACTGACCTTTCCCAGGATCGATCCAGCAACCTTTTGATTGAAAGGCTAGCACTACAAACAGAACAGTTCAATCGGATACCTTCATTTTGTACATTGATAGGTAGATACAACGCTTGTTGAACTTTGAAATAATACGACGAGACCTTTTTATTTTAATAAAAACGATGAGATTTTAACACGATTCTCATCGTTGTTGAAAATACATGAAAAATCTTAAATCCCTAATCAATCACTAACAAAGATTATAAATACTCAATTACTTTAGTTAAAATTACTTTCATATAAAGCAGTAACGTGGAAATATTAGGAAATCGCGATCCTGACCACCAATGGCAAACATTTATGTTTGATGTAAAACGTTTTTACACTGGTAGAGTCATAAAGTAATCTCTTTACGACATAAATTAATGCGAAAGGATGGAGACCAGAGTAAGTCCTAAAGTCCTGAAACATGTGACGCCGCTCAAAATATGGCCGCCGCGTGTCCTACGTCACACATTTATACAGACCACGGCGGGCCCATTGCGTTATCTTGTATTTGCTGTCTACCAAAAAGTGGCTTTAAACACCGTGTTTCTCATGATAAACCTGTATTTATACGCTTTTGATATTTTTGAAATGTTTCATTTAGGTGTGTAAATACGGCTTTGTACTAAGCACGTAAGGTATCATATTTAAACAGACATACTATATTGGTTTCTAATTAAATTATGCATTAAGAAACAAATAACTACTAATTGTACAACATCCAACCATAGGCTAAGCACAAGGGAGTATGTTTTATCTATGGTCCAACCCTTACGAGTCTTGATGCACCTTGTAAAAACAAAATCTTAAACGTTAAAATATATCAATAACAAAAAGTATCCGATTTATATACTTTTAAATCTTTATTGCTCTACATAATTTTGGAGAAAGTTTTTTTTCTAGGATATGATGACACAGTAAAATATTTTTATTTTATTTAGGTGCAAACTGATGGTACTGTCATACTGATGATTCATTCATATGTGTAGAAATATTCAACCAAATTAGTGGTAAAAAATGATTAAGTGACAGCATTAACTTACCTTTAGCATAATCTTCTTATCTGAAACAAAAATGTAATATGATTACTTTTTTATAGCATGTTTACATGTTAACCATATACTTATAGGCAGCTCGTCTTTTTCATAATGCACATTCATAATTTAAGAATATTATTATTTTTCGTGATAATGGCCTTCAGAAAAAATAAACTTAAACAAAACAATCGATTATCCTAGACATATGTGACAAATGATAAGGATTTACAATAGATTCACATTTTATTTGTTATTGTAACCTATAGTTATAGTCTGTTATTCGCTGAGCATGTTACTCAATTATTATGATTACCTAGTTAATTCAACTTTCACTCTTCAATTGTTATCACAACTGCATGTCATTTTCATTGAACATGTTTTTCATCTTTTCATTTTAATCTTTGCATGTATCACTGATGTATCTGTACAACATTTATCAGCATGTAATAAGCATCTTGTCGCATTTATCACAATGTAAAACGATTGAAAAAATGGTGTTTGCCGTAAAATAAATAAATAAATACTAATATGTCAACAGTTTATGAGCGTGTAAGCCTTTAACAAATTAAGGAAGCAAGGTGGCTTGCATTTTATATTTAAATTAAGCACTCTGCAACAGAATATAAACTATTTCATATTGCGAATGTGGTAGAAAATCGACACGAAGTAAGAAAATACTCCACAAGCCACCAGTGGCAGATGGAAAAGCATTACATTTCGCGCAAGATGTTATCAGTGGTGATACGCAAGATTTGGAGCTGGCAAGCAACGAGTCTCAGTCTGGGGCGAGATGCTTTTCCAAAAATACACATACACGTTCAAGTTTTCATTATTGAATTTAGTCAAAAGTTTATACCATTAAATGATTTGAAATTTTTATAAATATGGTGCCATACTTTTTTTTAAATTCCCATTTAAATGCCATTTACTACAATTAAAACAAATTTAAAAGTAGAGTAAATCATTACTTGTGAGCTAAAGCAATAGGGAGGATCTAAACATAAGAGAAAACAGTATTTGATATTCGCTTGGACAGTCATATTTTCGTTTGAGGTGGTAGGGAATAAAACAAATTGACTTAAGTTATTTAAATATTTGTCATGAATATCTATAAAATTGTGAAGCACCTTTACGTTAACGATTTTATAGCTCGTAACAGTATTTTAAGCTAAGGTAGTTGTTAAAGGATTTTATACTATTTTGAGAAGTTAGAGGGAGTGAGGGATATTTACGGACATTTAACTCATTTCCATTAATAGTAGGTTTTTTCCAACAACTCAGAGTAACCGCTTTTTAACTATTTTAATGACCAGAAAACAACAATTAACTATTAGTATTTCTATTCACAAAGTTTTCTTCGAGTAATTAATATAAAGGTGAAGTAAGGTTAACTTTAGAAATCCACGTGGTTGTCACAAAGAGAAATAAATCAGTCCTGGATGTAGTTATCAGGGCGGGGCTAGATAGGGAATGTCACCTGTTACAAGTTGTTTTATGGCTTAAACTGGCAAGGTTTATAAAATAAGGTAACGACATTAGATAAACACAGACAACAATATTTCCACCATATACAGTTCTTACAGTAGGGTTGCCATGATTTGCAAAACCAGGCCGATTAAAGTGCCTTTTAGGGGGGGGAGTGTTAATTTACTGAAATTCCTCACGGTTTTCACAACATGTGCACGACTTCATATTAGATAATAGCAACATGTCTAGGTATTTTTACAAGAATATATTGTAAGTCCACAAGAGTACAAAACATCTAAATTTATATTGCCATATATTATATCAGTATTGTGATTATTTTTACGAACACAATATCATAATTTGATAACTTTTACTTATTCATCAAATTTTATTTATTGTAAAAAAGTGCACTCATTCTTCTAAGTATTCTGAATCCATAATATCTAAAACCGAAAGATGTTTGGGAAATACGGACATTTAAAGCGAAATCAGAGACAATCTCGAAAACCAGATTGTTGTGTTGGATGGCAAAATCAACATTTATTATACAATTCCAGAAAGTTTGTAAAACATAAAACGGCAAAGCAGACATATGCAGTATTAACTTTTAGCACACTCCTATTTTTGTTGTTGTCAATTAGGTTCTTAAACACACAACATCATAACGATGAACATTAAAATTCTTACATGTTCTTTAGAATAGTACAACTCCAAACTATTCAATAGCTGTTTCAAAATGAATATGTATATTATAAACTGACAACTATAACACTTAGGGTAACCCATCTTTGTTATGAATTGTCTGGTTCTTAAAACAATTAATATGGCATGCTTTAGTGCATTGTATAAAAAAGGCCATACCCTTAATACCACTTTACTAGGCTATTACAAACTCACTACAACTATAATTTATATTTTATAACACAACAAACGACTTTCTGACTTTAAGGAAAGGAATCCGGGAAAGCTGACCTTATGAGATCCACTTAGAGGGAGAAGAAGAAGGAAAAGACAGACATAAAGCCTTAAAGTCCGCAAACACGTGATGTCGAGGAAATATGAGAGAAGCACGCGGTCCACCCTTCTACTGGGTCTGGCTGGAGTTAAATAAATACTCGAGAGCATTTCGCGTCTTAAATAAACTAGAATATTTAATGAAAATGCTAAGTCTCTTTTCGTTTAAAAATGCATCACGTATTTCGGAACGATAATGATTCATTTTGAAAGTTTTTTTTACAGGACTACAATTTTTAATTTATACTGTGTTTTATGTATAATCAGATTTCCGAGTGATAACTAAAAAAAATTTCAAAGTAAACATCGATGATAAAACATTGCATATACAGAGCTATTAAAATATATGGTCCCAGATTCTGGACTTTGTATCTCGAAAAGTATACATTAGAAATAAATTAGTTCTACACTATTAGAACGATAAAATTTCAAAGTTGTAGTTACACTGATTGCAAATGTTCAATTTGTACCTCCTGTGCTGCACGGAAAACATGTACGGTAAGTGATAGCCGAATTTGTCCCACACACGAAACAGCACCTCTAATGTTACCAATTCCTTGAAATCACCTAAACCAACGAGCTTTTTCTAGTCGGTGGTTCAATACCGAATTCGATGCGATAAGCCCCCCCCCCCACTAACAGGAGACTCAGTTTTTGCAATTTTTCACAGACAATCTCATGTTGAATTGTAGCCATCTTACTAAAGACTTGTGGTCAATCAAAACGGCTGCACATTTTTGGGATAACATTTTCGGCCGTTTCCGGAACTATGGTTATAAAACTTGGTCTCCAATATGGTGTAAAGGTCATGACCAACCGATTTACAGTTTTGAGATACAAAATCATAAAGTTGGGTCCATATTTTTTAATAGACCTATACAATAAAAATGCAATTTTAGTATGTAATTAGGAAATAGCAAACATTAACCATCCCAGCCTTCTAAACACCAATTTTCAATACCTCTTACCTTAGTTCTTCTTAAATGTCAAGGCTAAAGATATAAATCTTAACGTTATATAAAAAAAAAACTTAAGAACATTTATAGCCAATTGATTGTGACAACTATGAATTTTTTGAAGTATAACAATAATAAACAGGTATCATCTAAACATTTACCTCATAACATACGGCTAATCATTATTATAAGCGTAACATTCATAACTGAATAGTAAAAATGCATGAGCTTGTGAGAACAATAAAGTAGTCCCAATATTGAAGTAGGCGGTAGGACTTATTGATCACAATGTTGAAAGTTTCAGCGGGAATAACTTTGATATAAAATCACCAAAGTTTGTTGTGCGTGGTCGGATTGGGGAGCGTGCGTTTTTGAAACTTGTCAAAAGTGTGGTAAGCTAAACATCAGCTATCTGCAGTGTTAAACATTAATTTACCATGTTGAGAAATAAATAGGAACCGTAATATAAAAGGTAAATTAAGGCATTTATTTGGAATATCCATCAGGTTGCACTTTTGTCAGACAATTATTGTCAGCAGAAACAGACAAATACTCAATAAAAAACTGCATGTTCTCAAATAACCCTTATAGAACGGTTACAAGAGTTAATTATGACAAAACAATCACATACATGATTTTATTCAAAGAAAATAAGGAGCAATTGAAAGTCAAGCAGTCCAACAACATTTATTACTTTTACTACTTTCAGCTTGCTTTCACAATTTATATCTCGCCTCCAAGGGACTTGGTACGTGAGTTAATAACATCTCTGTCTTACTGACCTCATGATATATTGTTCTGAAAAAAGATGATTATCTTTTACATCCTCTTTCAACTGTTTACAATCCTCATTCTTCTTTTTTGTATCTAGAATTTGTTGTAAATTAATTCATAACAGAGAATTAATTCATTATACGCACGTTAAAAGGTGTCGCTATTTTTTTCTAAAGGTATAGTGAAAAATGACATCAACGTGAAAAGTAGGTACCCTAAAAAGTCCCAAAATTATTTTTCCATATTTATACCCGGCAACTAATAACAAAAAAACAGGTGAACACATTCAGTTATTGAGTTCTGGATTTAATTAAGCTGTATGTGTTACCACCAGGTCAGCAGAACAATCAAAGTGATTTTTATAAATTCAAATTTCAGTAATAAAATACTGACTTCAGACCATTTGAATGATCTAAGTGGGATTCAAATTGATGATGCTCTGTTAATTGGGTTAAGATGAGAGTTTGGGGATAATTTTCCGGAGTCGAACCTCCACCATTAATAGACTTTTTAGCTCTAGGAAATATCAATTAATACCAAGCTATCAATCCAAAAGGCGTAAAACCATATTTATTTGATGAACAACAATATACGGCTAGGAATAAATTACAGTTATTAACTACTGAATACGTCACATGAACTGTTCAAACTTTATCTTAACTTACTGGTTCACAAGTCAAGACACATGGAAATATTCCTCGGAGTGCCAAAAGACAGAAAATACTTGTTCAAAATCTTACATTTATAGTTTATTTTCCTACTATGATTTCATAAATATTTTATATTACGACCCTTAAAGAAGAAAAACACGCATA